GGGGGGTAACGATCCTGAATAACAGGGGAGAAGCCTGTAATCACTGCCTTATTATCAATGGGCAAAAAACCCATCAGTTTAATCCAGTGTCAGCCCCCCCCCCCCAACAAAGCTGCTTTGCCCTGTGGCACAAATAGCCCCCCAGTCAGCCGGCTTACGTTTAGGATGGGACAGGAGAGGCCACAGTAAGGGCTCAGCTTGGGGGGGGGGGGGCGTCCCACTCAACATGTGGTGGCCCCTTGTAAAGTCAGATTGCTTTGGACACTTCGGTAAAGAGCTGAGGTCTTAGGATCAGGTGCAGGCTGCCTCCCCCCCGCCCCCCCCACCCCGTGATGTCAGAAGCCCCAGGGCACAACCCTTAATTAACTCTCCCCCGGGCGTTCCTCTAAAAGGAACCAGCGGTGAGCTTTTTTGGTGGAGGGGGGCTTCATCTCGCTTTCCCCTCTGCTGCACAAAGATAAAGACCCCCCCTGTTAAAAGTGCCCCCCCTCCCCGATCCTGCCTGAAGACCTGTTCTGCCCCCTCTAGTCAGCTTCTGCATCTGAGACCGCTCCCAATCAGAGTGAGAATAATCTCCCCTCACTTCATCTGCGACGGCTCGTCTGTCGAATCCCAATTAACATGACCCCACCCCCATATCTTTCGCTGATTGGCTCCCCACTTTCAGTGAATCGGTCAGGCTGCGGAGGGGAGGGGGGGAGGGCGGGACATTTCTGAGCCACGGTGGGAGGGTCATCAGTGATCAGGAGCACCGCTGCTGTGCTGATAAGCGCCGGACGTCCAGCTGTAGGCCTCGGCCAGCCATCTGGTACCTTCCCTTGCCTATAATTATCCTGGACTTAAAACTCTTAGTAAGTGAATTACCAGTATAATGTCATTTCATTTATTGATTTAGCAGCATTTTATCCAAAGCGATGTACATTTGAGAAAGCAGGGACTGTCCCTTGCGCAACTGGTGTTAAGGGCCTCACTAAAATTACTTAGCCGACCACAGGATTTGAACCGACAGCCTTCTGGTCACAGGTGATGTGACTTGTTGATCCACACAGCGCTCCCAGCGGCTGGTTTACAGGCAACTCACACATGGGGCTTCCTGACCCTCCCTCATCCCAAAAGAGACCCTCTGTTCACCACGCCGTCCGAACTCGTCGGCTGTGCGGTGGCTGTCAAACCGCACGCGGTTCCCGCGAAGGTCCGGACCGGCATGAACAGGACCCCCTGTGACACACAGACATTCGTGTGTTGCAGTTTGTAGTTCAGCAAGGGGTGGGAAGGACACCCGTCTGGTAGAACCATCCCAGACGACCACGGTTATCCTGTGGCCGCTTTTATTAAGCCGCGGCGTAGATGCGAGTAAGATGTACGACCGTAAAATCCAGATAAGTTTATGGCCCAGCGGTTTAGAAGAATGCAGAACACTTGAGATTCATGAGCGTGTTTTATACCGATGTTGATAGGCCACACTATAAAGGCTCTATGAATAGCCACAAGTCCGCCTTCCATGGCTGGCGGGGGGGTTCTGCCGGATCGCGCCGCACGATCCCGGGAGATGACGGGAACGCCGGCGATAAGGCACTGACAGCATTCCCGGGAGGCGGCCGGGGCTCGTAATTAGGGTCATAAACAGAATCCCCGGCCAGCGCACTTTCATTCATGCATTCCTGCCGCCCCTTATCTCTTTCATTCCCTGCAGAATGGTGGGACGTCTGTGCCGGGAACGTGGACGGCGGAGGACGAGAAGGGGGTCGTGGTGGGGTCGCGGGGGGGTTAGGCACGGACAGGTGATGACAGCTACGCCTCTCGCACTCTCAGCCTGCAGGCCCGGCTTCTTCAAGGCTCAGGCCACGGAGCCCGGATGCTCGGCCTGCCCTCAGCACAGCGGCTCCACCACTGAGGCCTCCTCCGCCTGCCGCTGCCACCAGGGATACTTCCGCTCGCCCTCTGACCCCGTCTCCATGGCGTGCACGCGTAAGTGTGTCTGTGTGGGGGGGTGTGTGTCAGCCCGTGTGTGTGTGAGAACCTGTGTGTGTGTCAGCCTGTGTGTGTGTGAGAACCTGTGTGTGTGTGAGAACCTGTGTGTGTGTGTGTGAGAACCTGTGTGTGTGTCAGCCTGTGTGTGTGTATGTGTGAGAACCTATGTGTGGGTCAGCCTGTGTATGTGTGTGTGTGTGTGTGTGTGTGTGAGAACCTGTGTGTGTGTGTGTGTGTGTGTGTGCGCAGGCTTCAATCTCATGGTAGGGATTTTCAGAGAATACATTAACACAGATTTGAGAAAGAGATCACACCAAAAAAAAATACTTGTTTGCCTTTTCTCTTAATTTCTTTTAAAGGAACTACAACTTCTTATGGCATTTGAGTTTCGTTATGGTGGGTAAACATTAAAGCAGGAGTTTACAGGAATTTAAACTTGAGAGTTTAGCGAAAGTCTTCATTTGGATTTCTAAGTATGTCTGAATGTACATGTGTCTGTGGATATTCATTGTTCACTATAAATTTCTCATTGATGTACAAGGGAGGGTGTGTGTGTGTGTATTTCGTCTGTCTATCTCTCCGATTCGCCGTGTGTGTCCTGTGTTGTCCCCTTTCCTTTTGGCCTCCATACTTTGTTACTGGTCTCACCTCTGACCTCTGACCCTTGACTGCTGTAGCTTTACGGGCATCCCAGACATGTTGTTACACATTTAATCTGAGCTGCCTCAGTAAAATATACAATAACTTCAGTGTCCAACTGTAGACGTTGTTACGCTGCCTTGGATGTTGGTCTGTAACTGTAATCATCAGGCAGCAGGACAGCTTGGCAGCTTTGGCAGCTTGTCTGGAGCTTAACGTCAGACACAAGCTCCGCCTACCATGACAGAGGGTGTCACTGCCTCGTAGGTTAATCACACCTCATGTTGACCCTTCGAGGTAAAAAGAGAAGGTGTGGTAATTCTCAGTAACGCACAACACCGGCCTGCTCACACACACACACACACACACACGCACACACACACACACACACACACACACACGCTGTCCTGCCTCCCTGGTCCTCAAAATGCTTATTTTCACATATTCCATGTTATTCTCTTTTTTTGAGACATAAACACATATAAGAATAAAACTTGTGGTCAGACTTTCATCTGGTGCCCCTAGAACGTTTTTCATGGGGTTAAGGGCCTTACTAACCCCCCCAACAGTGATGTCGAGTGGCTCGGGATGCTGGTCTGACAGGAATGTTGATCCCTCTTAATGTCTGCGTGTGTCTTTTTACACATTTTACACGTGCAAATGAGCTCACGAGTGCCCGCCCCCCGTCTCCATCCCAGGACCCCCCTCGGCCCCCCAGCAGCTCATCTCCAATGTGAACGAGACTTCGTTGACCCTGGAGTGGACGGCACCGGAGTCGTCCGGCGGCCGCGACGACCTCAGCTACAGCGTGGTGTGCCAGCGGTGTGGGCCAGACCCGCGGCGCTGTCAGCCATGCGGGGGCGCCGTGCACTACTCCCCCCAAAAGGAGGGGCTGCGAGACACGCGTGTCGCCATCACCGACCTGCAGGCCCACACCAACTACACCTTCCAGGTCTGGGCCGTAAACGGCGTGTCCCAGCAGAGTCCCGGACGCGAGCAGTCTGTGTCCGTCACCGTGACCACCAACCAGGCCGGTGAGTGTGTGTGTGGATTATGTTTATATGACATTGTGGGGACCAAAAACCTGTTATTTTGATGTTGTGGGGACCATTTTTCAGGTCCCCACAAATATCTGTAAATGCAAACAAAAAACTGAAAATGGCAGAAGTCTCAGATTTTGTTTGGTTACTTATGGTTAAGGTTCGGGCTGGATGGAGGTTATGACAGAGAGCCTAGTAGTGCTTTTACAAACCCCACCATTGTTTGTCTTTGTTTCATTCTTAGCTACTTAGCAGTATACAGTCATTAACATAGTAATGGTTTTACACAGGCTTTCCCTGAAATTGCACTGCTATTGCCCCTGTCACGATTGCCTGGAAGATCTCTGCATCTGTCGTCAGCATCTGATTGGCCGAGTTAGACGTGTGTCACACAAACATGTCCTGTAACTTTGCTCTCCAGTTTACGGTGTTTAACTGAAAACTCTTGATGCACATTTTTTTTTTTTCCCCTGTTTCCATTCCTTGGTCTCCTCTTTCTGGGTTTCTGGTTTTCAAAAGCCGTCTTTGTTGGCCGGCGGCTCTCGGCGTCCGCGAGACCGAGGCGCCCGTCGCGGCCCTCATTAAAGCCGTTTAAGCGCCACTACGAGCTGCCGGACATGGCGTTTGCCGTGAGGATGAGACAGCTGCTGGCTGAATGCCCCAGAAACAAAAGCGCCCCAAAATAAAAGCTCCAAAAAGGTCTTCTGGGGCTTCAAGGGAGGGGGGGCCCTTATACTAATCATGATTTTACAGGCCCAATAGCCAAGCCTTAGAAGGCCCCGCTGTTCCCACAGTTGGAAAGCAGCCCCATTGTGGTCAGTCCTGTCATTTGCACGTGGGGGGGGGCCTGAACAAAGGGGGGCGAGTGTGTCAGAGGCCAAGGAGACCGGACCTGCGCGAATGTCACAACAAACGTGTGAAAGCTGTCCAGTCGGGGTTGGGGGTGGGGGGGGGGGGAGTGCCATTATTTTTAGTATTTTACAATTTTGGGCTTCAGTGGTAAACAGCCCGTTTTAAGTCCCCCATTTATGGCTTGAAGGCCGCAGCTGTTTCTCAGATAAACATGTTGGCTACACAAGTATACTAATTAAGCATCTTAAATTGAATCGGAGACGCTGAGGCTACTTCTGTCAGTCTTCATCTAACCTTGAACACATTCTCCAGCTCTGCTGGGTGGGTTTCAGTCCACGTGGCCGCAACTTTAGCCTGAAACTTAGCAAAACAGTCAGTGTGGTCAGCTGTTAGCGCGCGCCGCTCGGTTTGCGGTGTTAGCGTGTGGCAGATGGACGGGGCGAGCCAGGGAGAGCTCTCGGCTTAGCGCCGCGGGGACGTCCGCCGAGCAGCGCCACACCTGCGCGATAATCCGCGCGGCCGAGCTGAGAGAGAAAGAGAGAGAGACCTGCTCGTAAGGCAGCATGAAGGGGAGTATCCCAAAAGTGACTTCATTAGCATAGCATTAGCGTAGCGTGGCGTCAACCCCAAGTTGACGCACAATGAAAACAGAGCCGAACAGGCGGGTTGGAAGTTAGCGACTGGGTGATCTGGCGAGGGGGGGTCGTTAAGTGGGACAAACAAATGCAGGTTTCCAGGACGAGGAGAATCACCTCAGATGGGAGCGGCGTGCTCTTTGTAGCCAGGGAAATTGCAGCCGTTTGAACAGCTTGGGTCGTTCTTGAGGAGCGCCTGAAGAGGCCATGATTACAATAATAATGCCCATCACAAAAGCCTCAGCAGCCCTGTAAAATTCAGATGGGCACTTGGTTTCACTTCGAGTGCATGCGCGTGTGTGCGCACGTCCCTAAGGTGTGGACTGAGTATTTGAGCCGGTTTACACTGTTTTTGGGGTCGGGAGTGCAAGGCTGTGGTAGAGCACTGGCCCTTTAAGAGGAAAGTCAAACGCATGCCTGACGAATTGCAATCCAGCTCACATTGCAGGAAACCAAGTTTTACTGAAACTGTAAATAGTGATTCTGTTTTATTATTTTAAAGTCAAATTGGGGCCGAATGGTGGCTCCTGTGCCGGGAGGGAACTGATCAGGACCTCGGCGGGCCGGACCTCAAGCGCTGTATCTCTGCTATTGCAGCTCCCTCCCAGGTCACAACCATCCAGACCAAAGAGATCACGCGGCACGCCGTCTCACTGGTGTGGCAGCCGCCCGAGCGATCCAACGGTGTCATCTTGGAGTACGAGGTCAAGTACTACGAGAAGGTGAGGAGCGGCGTCTTGCATTCCTGCCACCAGGTGGCGAGGCCGGGGGGTCGCGGAGGAGACAAAATGTCAGCTAACCGTAGCGGAAATGGCGGCCCTGCGGATTTTGAAGCCAAGGACCTTTTTCCAGTAACTTGTGCCGGTGTCGTTGTTTTGCCCAAGGCTTCCTGGATGATCCCAGGTAGCTATTTCTGTCCGACCGCCGGCGCCACGTCAGTGATGATTTATAGAGGTGCTGCCTTTCTGAACCGCCGCTTTCCGGAAGCTCCGACGTGCTGTCGCAAACTGGGACAGTAGCTCTTCCTGTGTGATGTCAGTAAAACACGACCTTTAAAGCATCCAAGCGTGCACTGCTCAGGCGGGCCCGCCAGGAGCTTTCCAGAACACATAGGGTTGTGTAGTTAAAGAACACATACACAAGCGGGAGGCTTTTCAGTGTCTGTTTCTCTGCGAATCGCTGCCGGCTGGTGAGGTCCGGCCCTGCGATGATGTTGATCTGTGACCGCGGGTCTTTTCATCCACCAGCGTGTGAAATAACTCTGTCTGTATTAGTTAGACGGCGAAATGAATTGACCCCCAGATCACACGTTTAAATCTCTCCTCTGCTCTGCGTAACGCTCACAAGAAGGATTAATGAATGGGTAAAACCTTCCAGAAAAGCATATTCACAAAACATGCTGAAAGTAATCTCCTTGCTCTCCTTCTTCCTCCCTCCCTCCCTCCCTCCCTCGCTCTGTTCCGCTCCCTATCTGCCCTCCCCAGGACCAGAACGAGAGGAGCTACAGAATAATCAAGACCTCCTCCCGGAGCGCCGACATCAAGGGCCTGTCTCCCCTCACCTCGTACGTCTTCCACGTGCGGGCGCGCACAGCCGCGGGCTACGGCGAATTCAGCGCCCCCTATGAGCTAATGACTAACTCTGGTATGTTGGGGTGCTCCGGACCCCCCGAGGGGCTGCCTATTCTGGGCGACGTAGACCGCACGGCGCATGCTAAAATACCCTGTGCTTGCTTTTGGCACTCGCAGCATGACCAGGCACTGAACCACTAATAAATCCCGTTGTCTCTCATCTTAGTCCCATCCCCAGTCATCGGCGACGGCGCCAACCCCACCGTGCTGTTGGCCTCGGGCGGCGGTGCCATCGGCCTGCTCCTCGTGGCTGTGGGGGCCTTTGTCATTTCCAGAAGGTCAGATACCTCTCGCCAAGCGCTCTTTGCCCTTCCGTGATCCTCCGTTTCCGCCGTCTTAACTCCCTGCGGTCCGCGTCCTCTCCGTGACAGTACAGCTGATTCCTGCCGCTTATCTGCTCTCGTGATTCAGAGCTGTATCCATGGGGTTAATAGCTATATTTACAGAGGTTGTTTATTGTTATATATGCCGCCGCTGTGGTTTCGATTGCACGCCGCTCAGTACGTGCACCGAAAGTGAGACACACACAGAACTCTGAAGCTGGTGTTTTGCCAAGGAGAATATTTTTTTTACCACTGTCTCAAGCATTTCGCTTTTCCATCCCCTTTCAAAAAAACGCCACTCCAGCTCCTCTTAGCTTCATCAGTATTGCAAATCACGACACCCGGCACGCAAAACACACTACCAATTCACAGCAGATTCACGGGAAAACTGTTTTCACCCTCCACAAACTCTCTCAGCCTTTGCCCATTTGGATCCGTGAGCATTTTCATTTAGGGCTGTAATCCATATCGTGTTCCCAGTGAATTCCCAGTGATGTTTCCGAAGATGCAGAGTAATAAAAAAAAAATGCTTTTATTACTGTGGCTGTGACCCAGGCCTGAATGAGCAGGTGGATAAGAGAGATGCATTATGAATATTATTATTTTTATAAGAAAGAAAAAGGAAGAGGCTGTTTCACTCCCAACATGTACAAATATCAGCAAAATTATTTCTTGTTTATGTTGAGAATGACACGAAACGCCCTGGTAAGAATCATACATGTATTTCAACACGGGGGTGATGCTTAACTTGGACACTCAGAAGAAAAGCTCTCAAAGGAATAATTTATAAGTCCACGTTTGTTTTTTTTCCCCCCCAAATCATTTATTTTTGTACTGAATGCAACACAAGGTCAAGTCACTTCCTGTTTCATTTTCCAGTTCATGCAAAATCAATATAGTTTTTCTAAAATGTTTGTATGTAAAATACAGGGGAGGTCACAGAATCGCAAACTGAACATTCAATATTCTAAAAAAAAACAGCTACTTTTATGTAACCGCAGCATGGTTGGCTTTCAAGAAAGTTCTGGAATGAAGCGTAATAATGTGACCCCCCCCCCCAGCAGAGTCTTTTTGGTGGGACAAACAAAGGGAAGCATCGTAATGAGCCTGTGGTATCGGTCGGCATCTTGACAGCTTCCTGTGTTTCTGGGAGTTCCAAAAGCAGGACTCTCGGCTCGCTAAGGATTTCCTCGCTGTTTTTCCCGGGTGGGAGGAGAGCCTCAGCCAGGTCGCTGCGGGTTTGGGATACCTTAGATTCACGTTTTTCTTTGTTTATAGAGGCTGACGTTGAGGAAAGTAATATTTCGATCCCGGTTTGAACCTGGCAAAACCCTCACACTGTAACACGTGACGTTCATCCCTCCCAAGGTCTGGCGTCCTCCTACTGACTATAAATGAAGGAATCTGCCGCAAAACCTACATAAACTTTCCCCGCCTTCCGCAAAGTCTTTGGTCCCACGTCTCCAGTTTGTTTTCACGCGTGCCGACAAACTACAAATGAATCGGCGAGAGACTGAACAGACGGGCTGTTTCCGGAGGGACGCGCTTTAGCGAGAGGCTCCTGAGTGCTTCCTGCGAGGCGCCGCCTAAATGCTGAACAAAACGGCTGATTGGGGGCACCGCTGCCGCCGGCGTGCTGACATTTCCCCGGCGGAGAAGCAGCCGGCGGGCGAGCCCAGGTGCTCCCTCCGCTACAGTGTGTGGCCTTTTCCGGCCACGCAGGTGGTCCCTCGCTGCCTTTTATCTTTGGGCTCAATGACCTTTTATATGTCTCATTCACTCGATTGTCTGTTGCTTCAGTCTCATGGGGAGATTGGGGCTTTAAAAGCAATAGCCAAGATATACAGTGTTGTCCATCTGTGATCAGTTAATCTCTTCTCTAGATCTGTTTACGTCCATCCCTTCTTTGTGATTGTACCCCCCCCCCCACCAACAAAAACACACACACACACAACAGAGCTAGATGGAAGCTTGTACGTTCTTTTATCTAGGGTGTGTTAGCAACTGTCATCTCTTGGGCTTCTTTAGGAGAAGTAAGTACAGCAAAGCGAAGCAGGATGCGGACGAGGAGAAATGCCCCCCCCAAGGTAAGTGTCGATGCACCCCAACATAGGAAGGTGGAGGGCAAGAATTAGGCTGGTACCCCCCCTGATTTTCACATCCTCCGAGAGCCCTGGTGTAGCAGCGGGTTACTACGCTGTGCTTCTGATCAGAAGGTCATCGGTTCAGTTCCAATCCCCTAGAGACTGAATCTGCTTTCTCAATTGTATGTCACTTTGAATAAAAGCTTTTGGCAAATGAATATACTGTATATGAACGTTTTTTGTAGGTATGAAGACCTACGTGGATCCCTTCACTTACGAGGACCCTAACCGTGCCATTCGACAGTTTGCCAAAGAGATAGACGCTTCCTGCATTAAGATCGAGAAGGTCATTGGCATCGGTAAGCCAATTCCCGTCTCACACACATGGAAAAGAGCCTCCCTTCCAGTCCAGGGAAGCTCATGCAAACAGCAGGCCGGCTTGAAAATGTTTGACTCGGGAGTAGAATAGAATTCCTATAAGCGGTGACGGGGACGATCGGCTGTGCTCCTCAGGGGAGTTCGGCGAGGTGTGCAGCGGCCGGCTGAAGCTGCCGGGAAAACGGGAGATCTGCGTGGCCATCAAGAGCCTGAAGGCGGGCTACACTGACAAGCAGAGGCGGGACTTCCTGAGCGAGGCCAGCATCATGGGCCAGTTCGACCACCCCAACATCATCCACCTGGAGGGAGTGGTCACCAAATGTGAGTTTCGTGCTTGGTGCCGCTGGCATGTATTATTTAGCTAGAATACAGTAACTAGAGTGATTTTTCTCATTTGAGAAGCTGAAGCACAGTGTTCCTAGGCACGTAAATCTCTTAAGATCTCAAGGTACCCTCAGAAAAGGAAATGATGTGAATTTTGACAGTAGGAAGCTTTGGGGTCGACCTTAGCGGTATTATCATTAGCTTGAAGTGCGCTTGCGGGATTGCACCTGGCCAGTGAGATGAGGCTCTTAGTAAGGTTGGGATTTAGGGCTTTTTATCCCGCCTGAATAAAATCGGTTTGACTAGATTGCATCGGTAGTATGGGAAGAAACTTCAAAAGAAGTCACTCAAAAACCACTGCGAAAGCTTAATTTCTGACCTGTGCTAGGCCTGCTTCTTGCTAGTGGGAACCAGTTGACCCCCAGTCCCGTGGGGAAGGAGCCCGTCCCAGGGAACCCAGCTGTGAGGTGGCTTTTTTCGCAATATGTGAAGAAGAAGTCATTCATCACAGTGTCAGCTCCACATGGTTCCAGGGCTCTGGGCTGATACTCTATCTGTATTCGTTCTTTGGGCTTTCATTTTTCTTGGCATGGAGTTTTTTGATTTTTTATTTTTTTCTCTTCTTGCTCGAATGACGGGAGTGCTGGTTCGCCGGCATTTGGACCTCTGGATGCGGGGCTCTGGGCGGACAGCGCCGTGAGAGCTGGCGAGTGCGGGTATGAATAGCAGATGAGCACTATGGTCTCCTCTGAGACAGCATTCTGGGCTCTTAACTGCTCTCAGAGAAAGAGGAGAAATAGTGAGACAGCAAGCGTCAGCAAACACAACACCGACCGACATGCAGAGGTGCAAAGGGGATAGTGATAGTCCGGATGGGCGATGTTGTGATTGTAACTACACTCATCTCCTGAGTCCCTTAGGCCTGGCCGGGATGTTTGACACGCATTTATTTAATAACTGTTTGAGGTCGTCTCCAGTGTGGGTATTAAATGTCGTCCGGGGAGTGGGAGAGCGGGTCAGGGTTAAACAGGCCTCAGAGCGGGAGAGCTTGTTATGGCTATTGTACCGCTCTCGTGGTGTCCCACCCCCCCCCCCCCCATCCGCCTCTTATACGATTTCGATAGCAGTATGTTGTCTCTATGGTAACCAGTCGGCAACCCAGGAATCCCGGAGAATAGTAACCAGGACCCCTCGGCGCGTCCAGAAATGTAAACAAAGCCAAAAAATGCAAAAATCATGCAAATGAAGGGGAGAGAGAATAAGGCAGAGGAGGAGTTTGGGCTAAGGGGGCGGTCTTTGTCTTCTCAGGCCAGATCGGGAGCTGTCAATCGAAGGAGCGCTCTCTTTCATCCACTGCGAGCGAGGCAGTTGTCATGCTTCATGAGTGGCGTCCCATTGAGACAAATTTTCTATGGGGCAGTGGGGGGGGGGTGCAGAGAGGTCCAGATGACGGGTGAGCAGACCTTCCCAAGGTCTGTTCTCTTTGCTCGAGGTCCCTTCCCTTCCCATGAGCAGTCCTAGCTGCGCTGACGCCCTCGTCCTGTCCATGCAGGCAAGCCGGTGATGATCATCACGGAGTACATGGAAAACGGATCCCTGGACACGTTCCTGAGGGTGAGTCGCTCGTCGCTGTTTGTACGTGTAGCAAGCAGACCGAACTAACATGGCTAAAAGAAATCACGGCCCTCCCCCTGCTGAACTGACCTGAGGAAATGGATGGCAGGGCAGTGGGCGTAATGTTTAGGGAGCAGCACTGTAATCCGGTGGTTTGCCGGCTTCACTCACCTGGACATCGTTCCGCAGAACAACGACGGGCGCTTCACGGTGATCCAGCTGGTGGGCATGTTGCGTGGCATCGCCTCGGGCATGAAGTACCTGTCAGACATGAGCTACGTGCACCGCGACCTGGCAGCAAGGAACATCCTGGTCAACAGCAACCTGGTGTGCAAGGTGTCCGACTTCGGCATGTCACGCGTGCTGGAGGACGACCCGGAGGCCGCCTACACCACCAGGGTAAGGCTCCAGCACCTCCGCCTATTCACCCCTCTGCCCCCCAAATGCCTAACCTGGATTAAGTGCCATAACGGGGGTCTTATCGACCACAGGGGGGGAAGATCCCCATCAGGTGGACGGCCCCCGAGGCCATCGTCTACAGGAAGTTCACGTCGTCCAGCGACGTGTGGAGCTACGGCATCGTCATGTGGGAGGTGATGTCGTACGGCGAGCGGCCGTACTGGGACATGAGCAACCAGGACGTGAGTGTCTCACCTGCTTTTCCAGAAGCTGCCGCAGAGCGAGCCTCCATGCGTTGCTACCAGAATGACAAGTACCTCTGATGAACAGAGATATTAAAAAATAAATACCCAGCTACTTAGCTTCATTAATGTAATAATGGGATCTTCAAGCGAACAGGCAGTTTGAGACTAAATATAGCATGGAAATGCATTTCCTTCATCCCTGTGAAGGTGGGTAGTTTTCATGCACCTCTATATACAGGTGAGAGTTTTTGGGTCAGAGGTCAAGGCCATGCAGCACTCAGCTGGGCCTTACCCAAGGGCCCAATGGTGATATGATTACTCTGCTAGACACGGGACTTGAACCAACAACCCTTCCGGACACAGTCACAGATCTCTAGCCTGCTGAGCTGCATATTGCACTATTTAATTGGAGTCCAGACACACTCTGAACTTTGACCCCTTGCATTCCCACAATCCCAGGTGATCAAAGCCATCGAGGAGGGTTACCGGCTGCCCCCACCCATGGACTGTCCTGTCGCCCTGCACCAGCTAATGCTGGACTGCTGGCAGATGGAGCGCAGTGCAAGGCCCAAGTTCAGCCAGACGGTCAACATGCTGGACAAGCTCATCCGCAACCCCAGCAGCCTGAAGAGGACGGGAGGGGAGGCGCCGCGGTGAGGCGCCTGACATTCAGCACGCACGTGTTTACACACACGTGTTTACACGCATGTGTTTACACACACGCACACAGGTCTCAAACATACTCGCATTCATTCATACAGTCACACATGCTCACACTTAGTCATAGAGCCACACACATACTCATACTCGCTAATGCAGCCCCACAAACACTCATTCATGCAACCTCACACATACACTTTATGGACAAAAGTACTGGGACTCCAGTCTGTCCAACATCTCACTCTGAATCACAGGGTATTAATATGAAGCCGGCTAACCCTTAGCTGCTACGATAGCTTGTACTCTTCTGGTAAGGTTTTCCGTTAGATGTTGGATCATTGCTGGTGGGATTTGCTGCCATTCATGTTGGGCATTGATGTTGGGTGATCAGGCCCCTGTCTGTGAGCTTGTGTGGCCCCCCACTTCGCAGCTGAACTTGCTCCCAGATGTTTCCACTTCGCAATCACTTGCAGTTAACCAGGGCAGCTCTATCAGGACAGAAATGTGGAGAACTGACTTGCTGGAAAGGTGTCCAATGGTGATGCTGGGTTGACTAACCTCTTCTGTGTGACCCCCCCCCCCCCCCACAGTCTGCTGCCAGTGTTTGATGCTGCAGATTACATGACTTTGTGCTTAATTATATACCTGTATGTCAGTAATGGGTCTGGCTTATGTGGTCAATTGCTGTAATTACTATGGGATCGCAATACTTTTGTCCATATAGTGGACTCACACATTCATGCAGCCTCACATATACTCACATTCATTCATGCAGCCTCACATATACTCACATTCATTCATGCAGCCTCACATATACTCACATTCATTCATGCAGCCTCACATATACTCACATTCATTCATGTAGCCTCACATATACTCATACTCATTCAAATACTCACTCACATGCACCTGCCTCATCTCTCTCCCTGTCCAGGACCGGTACTGGCTTGCTGGATCCGAACAGCCCTGAGCAGCTGTCCTCCTCTGGGGGATCCGTGGGAGACTGGCTGCACGCCATTGGGATGGAGAGGTCCAGGGACAACTTCAGGTCCACCGGCTACCCCAGCCCCGAGGCCGCAGTCCGCATGACGCAGGAGTAAGTCTCCGAAGGTACCCAAACCCGTGGCCAGCTAGCCCGTGAGGGAGAACTGGGCGTTTGGCACGTGCGCATTAACTCGAGTGTGCTGTGTCGGCAGGGACATGGCCAGAATGGGAATATCTTCAGCGGCGCACCATAACAAAGTCCCATCAAGTGTCCAGGAAATGCAGTCCCCAGTGCAACCGATGCAGGATGGGATGGTTCCGGTGTGAAGGATAAAGAAACCACAAACTAACTCGAAGCTGGCCATTTCTGAGGAAAGTTACGAAATAATAAAATTGTTTACCTCATCCATGCACTTTAAACTACGTTGGAATATAGGAAATGAGGAGCAGGAAGCTGCACTTTTACACGACATCATCGCTGCCCTTTTGCAACAAGACAGTGGAAATGTTGTCTTGGACTGGAATGTACTTCTGAAGGACCAAACTGGCACGTTTGCCATGTATTTGTAGGAAAGGAACTACGAGTTTCTCGTGCGTCACATTTATGGCGATTTCTCGCATACTGAGATATAGATTGTTTGAATTTTCATTTTATTCGTATGTCTTTGTATAAATTGTTCTTTGTAATATACTGCCATGTTATTCATGTTTACTTTTCCTGCATCCTCACCTTCGTTCGAGCCCTTCTGTATCACACAGCTGTGTCCTCGTTTTACATATGAGCCAGTTTTGCCTTCGGCCCCATTATCTCCGACCATCTGACCTAAGGTCATGTGCACGGTCCGCCGCCGCCTTCCCCGGCTCTGGGACAAAGCCGGGTCAGGATGCCGTAGCCCTGACGGCCACCTCCCCCCCCCCGTGTTTTCTCCCTCCCGGTGCATGCCGCATTCGACAGACGCCAATCGACATAGTGGCGGGGCAGTAAACCCCAGGAGCCGTGTGGAGCGAACCAAACGTGTCTTGAACCGGGGGGGGGGAGTGTTTTCCCATCACTCACATTTAAGGTAGTTCCAAAAAATGTAATGAAGTTAGCGAAGCAGATCCGGTCAGTACGGAATGAATATGAATGTAATTTTTTCTGCCTGAAATGTTTTTCGGTTTGCCAACCTGTGATTTGTCTTCTTCTAAAGGGTCTGTCCGGTCTGTGACAAGCACGATTTGTGGTTAGGGTGTCTTCACACTGTCATTGTGTACTGGGTGCGGTGACACCTTTCCAAACACGGTCTCGTAGGTCTGTAAGCTCCAAAAGGTTCCGAGAAAAAAGGAACTGCTGGCTTACGTGTATAAAAGAAGAGAGAACTCCTCAAGGAGATTTTTGAAATTGTTCCCAAAGGACTGTGTTTGTTCATTGCTGTTGCAGCCATTTTACTTTCCCAGTGACTGAGATGAATGCTCTGCTCCGGGTTCGAGTTGGTCCGCAGCCAGCAGTGGAAGACCCCTGACATGTATGGCGGACAGGAACGTGGATAGAGGTCTGTCCACATGATCTGGTCAGCTTCTCATTGACGGGAGCTCCAGGCTTTTGGACAGAGAAGGGAGCGGCATAGAGAATCGGTCCTGACGTCAGTCGCAATCAGGGGACAAAGCCTCTCTTTTTTTAGAGCCAGTTTCTTCAGGAGACTCACTGGTTTTCGTTTTCACCCATCTGGCCTCCCAGCAGTCGGACCCCAGGGACGCTGCCGGCCGTCTCTCTCTCACGGAGCTGATCCAGCCCGCTGTACCGGAGGTCTCCGAATCTGCCCCAGGGTGCGGCGAAATCTCCAAGATGCCCTGAGATTTCCGGAAGGTGCCGCACGGGGATGCATAGACAGACAAAAAAGGAAACATTTTATCTTTATGGGCTGTTTTTTAAAATAAGACTGATACGCATAAAATTCAGAAAAAGAATGTAAAATAAATGCTTGCAGATATTAAGCATGGAGTTCTTACTCTCTAACGTGGCATTTTCGGACTTTAAAGCCTGTAACGGCTCGGGCAGTGAGTAAAGCATTTCATCCTTAGTGGTAGGGGGTCCATTTTTGTTTATTACACGGAAAAATAGCCTCCAATTTTCTGTTAGGAGATTCTGCTGTATTTCTTATGAGTTTAGCAGATGTCTGCCTTCTTTAAATGGCGTTAATATTCCTCAAGCGTAAGCGTGTGACCTGTGTCCCTCGGGGGGTGGGGGTGGGAATGTAGGTACGTCAGCTTAGTGCCCGGGTCAGATGTGGCACACCTGGTGCTTGTGGAGAAGTGGGCAGGGTCACTTTCAGCTCTTTCTCCCTCTCTATCTTTCCCTCCCTCCATCCTCTCCTACTCCTCCCCTTCAGAGCTCATGTGGGGGCGGCGGCCACATGCAGAAATACCCCAAACAGGAAACTAACACAATCAAGAGACATTGATCTCCCTGCAGGAAAGGGGGGGGGTGGCAGGCACTGGGCACAGGTTTCAGATCGGGGGGGGTGTCAGTTCACTGAGGACCGGTAGAGCCTGGATTCTGTTGCATTCAAGCCTTAACTTGGCTGCTTGGGTACAGAGCAAACACTTAATCAGAAAACATCTGTTTCTCGCAGCTATTGCAGCGGTGATGCACGCTGATTGTCCAAGCCTTTGATTAACAAAGAAAACAGAGTGTGGGCAGATGGGTAATTTCAGAGCCACAGTAAATACTGATTTGAGCTGAGCCGCCTTTTCCTAAACAATCACCATAATGAGCCATGCATACATTAGGTACACGGAGCAAAGTTCTGAAACTGTTCATATCGGGAAGAACTTTCCAGACGATGAGCTAAGCGGTCGTATGATTGGCTCTCCCAGAGCTGGAGGTAGCCTTGCATTGGTCAGACACCTGTCCCCTCTTAATATAGGAAGACACAGTTTACGCTTAAATCCTCATTGTAAGCGCTTTCACAGAATCATGTGGGTGGGGCTTAGCCACCAGACGGACAAGTCTTACGATGGGGGTGTGGCTTACTTTTAATTTCTGAGCCACTTAGTAAGTATCCGCACAGATGAACTTTAAGCCGTCATTTCACAGATCTTTCGGAGTGAAGCTGTGATAAGTCAGGGTGAGGGCTGGGTTTGGCCATTTTGCGTTCCCATGGTCACCATCCCTGTGCCAGCTGCCACCTACCAAGCAACTGGACCTGATTGGACTGATTGCCGGATATGGATAACACAGCTGACTGGGCTCAGGAGAGCTGGCCATTACGCTCTATTTTATATTTTCGGGTTTTCTGTTTATGTTTGAATATTTAAGTCGGTGTTTGTGTCTCGTTCTTTTATTATTTCATAGCTTGACAGCATTCCGCATCTGGCCGATTGTTTGGACAAGGCGGAGCGGGGTGGTTTGGGGGGGGGTGGGGCCATATTGCTCACAGGGAGAGTGAAGCTGCTTGACTTCAAAGGGAGAGACGCAAAAGGTGACCGGTGACGGGATGGTGAGGAGGCGGAGGGAGCGGAGGGAGCGGGCGATGAAGGCAGAGCGGCAGGGCTGGCGGGGGGCAGCAAGACGTCCGTGGGATCGGAGGAAGGCCATGCTGGGGCATAAAGAAGATACCAGACATATTCAAGGAAGACTGCAGGAGCATTTGGAAAGACAGAAACGGATCTGAACCAGCGGCAGCATGGGAATTATTTATTCTAACACCTTAATTGTAGTTATTTAAAAATCAAACTTAAAATCCTGACTCAGTGCAGACAAAAAAAACATGTTTTTTTGCACCTTTGACAATGACATGCTAATTACAGTGGCAAGTGGCATTAATGGCTCAGTATGTTTCATAAGGTGACAAACTGACAGCTTGTCTGAATATCTGGATAAGGAACATAAAGCGGCATGTTAAAAAGTTAGGAAAGAATAATACCTGCAACAGAAAATCAAGGTATCAAACCAATAACCCAAAGGAAAATGCATCGAGACCAACATTACATGGTTGGTTCTATAAATTGTATGTTTATTACCAAAGCATTCATCAGAAATGCAGCTAAGTCAGAAAAAATATGCATGTGTTGCATTGCGTGCCGATTTAAGTGAGGAACAGAAGTGCTTATCTCCAGGAGTTCAATCGTCCAATCAGGGCAAGCTGGCTGATAGGTAGCTGCTAGATTAATGCACATTACCCAGAATCCCCTGAGTGTATTATTTTTGTACATACAAATTGCATAGTCATGGCGTACTTGCTTAGTGCTGTGTAGTCAATAAAGAACTACTGGTAGGGCAAGTATTGAAATTTTAGAAGAGTGTGTACTTTTACATAAAATCTAAATCACGCTGAAGTTGCTCAAAGATTAAGATTATTGTCGGTGCAGATGGAGCAGGTCAGATTTCCCGCTGACAGTGGCAAAGCAAGCTTTTCCTCCTGTAAAGGACACAGCTGAGTCTTTCATAGAGATCTTGAAAGGCAATTTTGGGGGGATTCTGTGATTTTTCACTTGTAACTGAAATACAATGTCAAAGGCCAATTTTCTCATCATCCAATCACAGTATCTAAATTTGCTTAAAGAGGCAGTCATTCTCTTTGTGTGCCGGGGCGCTCAAGCGGTGTGGGAGGATCATGTGACCAGCACAACAAACAAACAGCAAAACTGTGCAAGCCAAGAACGACAGACCCCGACTGCCTTTAGCTGCGAATATGAGGGACTGCTGTTCACAAGCCACCGCAAAGTAGACCAGGTAAGACTGAGAAAAGCAGGCCTTCGCGAAGAGGAACAGGTGAGCTTTGAAAACCGATCCGGTTATTTGACTCGCTTGGATGGTGCCCGCACCTTCTGAAGGGGCACATTGAACATGTGTGGAGGTGAAAGGGCACATCGCTTTCCACACGCCCACCTCCCTGAGCCCGCGGGCATCGCCAGGGCCGCCAGGACGTCGCTGACAGCAGCTTGAGCGCCTATGCAAACACGGCCATTACGGCCCTGGCCATACTGAGATACCCCCGCCAGTGTTTACCTACATTATTGTGATTATAACAAGTTACATTAACTAAACTCAGGGTAATTAAAAAAAAATACAACCTTATTGCCTTACCAATATAACCAATATAACCAGTAAAATCTATTTATTGGTACCACCAATTTCTTTAAATAATTTTATTTCTTTAATATTTATTTTAGTTATTTTATATTTTTTTAAAATAAATGTATCAATTTCTTTAAATATACAAACAAAAAAAAAGACGGCCTTCTCAATTTTATTAGCATTAAAAAATTTATTTAAATTAAAAGTTCATTTAAAAAGTAAAGCTTAGAATTCTTGTTCAGAAAATCAAAAAAAAGGTCTGGCTAATTACCGGCAGCCCTCAGAGGCATTTCATTGATTTCAACGAGAGGCAGCTGGCCCTCGTTTCTGTCACGCCTGCCTCTATAAAGCCGCGAGTGCCGGCCTCCTCTGTGCCTGCGTTCGCTGTGTGCCGTGTGAGCTGCGACTGCGGGTCTTTCAGTTAGTTTACTAGTGCCTTTTAAAGTGAAGGGCTACATCTATTTAATGCGTGAGTGTAGGGCTTTACCCAGGGGTCAGGAAGCCGTGAGGAACCTCGATCTCCAACGCGGGGCAGAGATTCTAGCCGCGTCAGGCTCACTGCGCCGTCGCGAGGCTCACTGCAGCTAGATTATTTCTCATTGCAATTCCCCATTGAATCAGTGCAGGTTCTAGACCATTTCAGCTTGGTGGGGCAGACAGGGGCCATTTGTTCTGTTAGGGGGGGCAGATGCATTTGACCTTAATGTCCTCCATGTCTTACTTGCACTACTTTGCCAGCATTAAGAAGCAAAAGATCATTTTGAAAACGATAAGTTATTTATGCAATGCTTTGCAGTTACATTTTATAGTTTTTACGAATATGTTACTCACTCTGATCTTTTTAGACCGTCTTGCTTCCACAAGTTTTTTTTAATTAACTTTTTTTTTGCTTTTCACCAACTGAAGCGACTCGACCACCCGCCGCACCCGCGTTGAGTCCGTCACGAAAATGTGTTTACGTTTGTGTTTGGCCTGCTCCCAGTGCAGTTTTAGCCACATGTATAAATGTAAATTACAATAATAGTAATAATACATTTATATCAGGCCCATGTAGCATATGTATTTAGGGGACCCCAGGGGGGGCTATGTACATTGTCATACGGACACTGCCCCCCTCCAGAAAAGCCCCTGCATCGAACCCAATCTTAGAACTCTGCTGGAAACTTTTAATATTACTGGTGAGGAAGTAGCAGTTTTTCAGTAAAAGTACACAGATGATCAAGGTGAAAATCTCGATTTAATCATGACATCGTGACAGATAAAACATGCCCTGGATACAGGGGTGTAGCTATCAAAACCTGGGCCACCTGACTAAATGTCACCTTGCATCCCAGTATAATTTCACATGTTAAAGAGCCCCCCCCCCCCCAATCTGCCAGCATATACATGCCCCTGCCCCATTACGACTTTTTGGGATATCCTACGAACATTTACCTGCTCTGCTGCCAGTCTGGGTTACTCACAAATTCAACGTGTCAAAATCTGCACCCCAGGATCATCATTAGCCTCAGTGCTCCTTTAATTTGTCTTTCATTTGCAATTCTTCTAATGCAGCGTTTCCCAATCCGCTTCTCGGGGACCCACAGACTATCCACATTTTTGCTCCCTCCCAGTTCCCAGTAGGGAGCAAAAACATGGACTGTCTGCAGTTCCCCAAGGAGCAGATTCAAGCACTTCAAGGCCTTTGGGGACAAAAGGCCTCTGTACTGTGTGGCCAGGTCATCACGGTTACTATTGGATTATTATTTGAAACAAAGGTTTTAAGTGTCAAGCGCGAGAAAGTCCCAGCCGTAGTTCCGAAGGGCGAGAGGGGAATCTGTTACCACGCAAAGTTTCCCGGTCGCCTCCGGGTTTGTTTAATCTGCACATTCCTGCCGCTACTTTCGACGTGTTAATTTACTCCAGCCTGCAGTCA